GTTGAGCATGCTGACCTCGCTGACCTTCTCTCTCTCTGTCTCTGTCTCTCTGTCTGTCTGTCTGTCTGTCTCTCTCTCTCTCTCTCTCTCTCTCTCTCTCTCTCTCTCTCTCTCTCTCTCTCTGCGGACGCGCATCCCTCAGAGAGCAGTGCGGCCCACGCTGCGTCGCGCCACGCCCAGCCAGCCGCTCATCACTCTGTCTCTCTTGCACCGCTGCGGTGCGGTGCTGGAGTGCGAGAGGGACAGAGCGCGTCTCGCACGAGGAAGAGCACGAGGAGTACAATGTGCGGTACTCGACCGTGAGGTTATAGTGGCGTAGTCGTTTGTGCACTTCCGGTTGGGATTCGCTGCCCTGGTCGATAATAAAGTATCGGAGGTGTTTAGCATCGATTACCCTTCGATTAATCGAAGGGTATTTTCAATAACTTGTTTTCCCAGACAGTAAGGGTGTAGTTTTTGAAAGCGCCGCCAGGTGGGATCGAACCCGCGACAGCCTTCCCTGCAAGCGCGCGGAATGCTGCTGCTGCTGCTGCAACACCGCGATCCTGCAGACGTCGCTTTTCTCGCTCTGTCTCTCTCGCACTCACGGGGCGTGCCGTACGGGTGCGAGAGAGACAGAGCGGAGCCGGTAGAGTGAAGTTCAGGGCCGGCCATCCCGGCTGTCGCTCCCGTCCTCGGCCGAGAGAGGTGTGTAGGACATGACTGATTATTTCATCGGAAGTGACTCGGTGGAACGCAACGAAGGATGTAGGTCATATGCCACACGGGGTCTTCTTATTATAGCTATACGTCACTCCGCCACCGCTGCAGCAGCACTGCGTTGGAGCCGCTACACTAAAACAAAGTTAACGTACGTTAATTGAAGTGTCATTAATTTTAAAAAAATTGAACGCGCCAAGGTTAATCACTTTTGAGAAATTGGCGCGATAACGTTAATCACTTTTGATAAATTAATCACTTTGGAAAACTTCACGCGTTTGTTAACGTTAATTACTGAAAAAGTAACGCGCTCGTTAACGTTAATCACTTTTGAAAAATTAACGCGTTAACGTTAATCAATTTTGAAAAAAATTAACGCATTAGCGTTAATTGAAAAAAAACCCTAACGCGTTAACATGAATTACTTTTGAAAAAAATTAACGCGTTAACGTTAATCACTTTTGAAAATTTAACACGTTAACGTTAATGAAGCATTTAGGCTGTTAATTAACGCCTTTAACCCGTTAATTAACGTTAACCGCCCTGCTTTTAACCGTGCGCTGCTGCACCGTAACGCTGCGCTGCTCCCCCTCTTCGTTTCGTACAGTGGTCGCCAAGTCCGGCCAAGTCTTCCTGGTTGAATGGTCCTGGAAGGCCAGGCGGGGCCAGCAGGCGCGGTGCGGCGCGGTGCGGTGCGTGGTCACCTGGCTCGCCTCCACCTCGTCCACTCCGTCCGGCAACAAGCGGCAGCAGGGCACGAGGAAACAATGATATGTGCCAAGTTTCTTACCATTTATTTTCCATGTTTTGGTTGGCGGTGCACAGTAGGCCAGAAGACCGGTGGCGGCGGTCCAAATCCCGGACGCGCGTTTTGAGCTTTAGAGTCACTAGGGTACTCCAATCGAACGTGCGTCTGGAGCTCAAAACGCGTCTAGTTTTGGCCGCCTCCACCGGTCTTCTGGCCCACTGTGCGGTGTTGGACTTGTGTCTAGTGACCCACGGACTTGGATAATTTTCAGTAACCTTTCAGGAGGCCGGGGTCGTAACTTGCCCGCTCGTGCTTCGATGCACCTTTTACACTAGGGTCAGTTTAGGGGTAAAACTGGGAGAAACGATTTTGGACACGCATAAAACATTTTCAAACACTATTCCGATATATTTTATCGCATCGACACGGCATGAATATTTAAAATGCAAAATCTTGTCCAGAATCGTCAAGAAGTATAGTGCACCATTCTTAGTCCCACTGTCCGACCCTCCTAATGCATTCTAAAACGCAGAACCGAGTGTGTGAGGAGAGCAACACATTGGCATTGCCCTTCCGCCCTCTCCTCTCCTCCCCTCCCTTCCCCTCCCTTCCCTTCCCCTCCCCTTCTAAACTGGTCACGTGGTTTGTGCTCGGCCCTTTCTGCGATTCACCTTGGCAGCGTCGTCCCACAGTGTTGTCGCCGTTTTGTTGGCTGCCGTGCAGTCCTAGTCCTGCGTATGTTGGGCGGCGACGCCCCCGCCCCGCCCCGCCCCGTCCTCCAACAAGTGCAAGTCGAGGCACAGTGACCCCTCGAGGCCGCGCGGCCGGGACCTTGTGTCTGGGCGGGGGCCTCGACGAGGCTGCCCCCTGCTGCCCCCTCCCCCTCCCCTCCCCCTCGCGGGGGCTGGGACGTGGTGAGGCGCGGGGCGTGGTGGAAACGGCCAAGCAGCCGACCGATTCCGAGAGTCGTTGTCGTCGCTCTGTCTCTCTCGCACCTACACGGGACGCCCCATGAGTGCGAGAGAGACAGAGCGACAAAAAAAGGCTTTCAGAATCAGTCTGCAGCCGAGGGGCTGGGGGAGGCCGGGGGGGGGGGGGGGGGGGGTTGAGCGCGTGGAGGCAAGGCAGGGCAGGGCCCCTGGAACCTCCTGGAGAGGCTCCAGGAGGCCTCGCCCGTGTTCAAGGCTTTCTTAAGGCCAAGGCCAGCATCCTTTACAGAAAAAATGCAATTTTTTTTCGCCTTTAAACATTGCAACAGCGTGAGGGGACACAGTCCTGAGGTCGCTGAGCAGGTATGCTATGAGACAGTCGCAAGCAGCGCATTTTTAAAAATACCACTAACGTAAGCGAATTTTTTGAAAAGACACCGATTACAATGAGTTGTTTTTCACCTGCTGACATGCACCTTCAGAGTCCACAAACACTCGGCTGTACAGACATGCAAAAAGGGTTTTACTGCGAGATAAAGACAGTCGAAACGACCGTCTGAAACATCGTCTGCAGTCTTAGCCTTGCTACGTCGCAGAGGGTTCAGAAAAGGGCAACGTAAATTCGCAAAGCAGGTTTCGAAAACTTCAACTTCACGAAAAATAACCGCAGTCGGGCTGAAGCGGTGGGAACTCTAGGCGCCAAACAAATTAAATTTAAAAAATTTTGTTTATTTTTTTATTCATTTGATTTTTTAAACCATTGTCGCTTACCGTAACAAGTACAGTGACAACTAAACGCCTAGCGCCCTCAAAATTAAGCTGAAGAAGAAGAAGAAGAAGAAGAAGAAGAAGAAGAAGAAGAAGAAGAGAAGAAGAAGAAGAAGAAGAAGAAGAAGAAGAAGAAGAAGAAAAGAAGAAGAAGAAGAAGAAGAAGAAGAAAAGAAGAAGAAGAAGAAGAAGAAGAAGTTAGTAGTTTTCGCGACAAGTCCGCATGATCGCCTGCCCGTCCCGCCCGCCGGCAGTGTCTTCGCCTTCCCGGCGGTGTTGCAGGTCTTTGTGGCACTTTTGGGGCTTCCCTTTGCGTAACCGGCCGCCTTGGTCGTAACGCTGGATGACGTCATCACAAGGATTAGGCCAGGATTAACGAGACAAGTAAAGGACACCCTCGAAAAACGGAGAGAGAAGAAAAAGAGCCGGTCGCCGCGTCGCACACTTAATGTTGTTCAATTTTGTACGAGAAGTTGCATTTTTTTGTGCAGATGGATTTTTTGCTCGATTTTCGTACGAAAGACTGCACGAGTTTCCCCATTTCTGAGTGAAATCGCGTAGAAATTCTGAAAAAAATTTTACCCGCACAAAAAAAATTGGAAAGTCTCGTACAAAATTTGTACCAAAAATTAATTGTGCGATTCAAACAAAAATTGGGAATGGGCCTGTCCGGGATTTGAACCCGGGACCTCTCGCACCCGAAGCGAGAATCATACCCCTAGACCAACAGGCCGCTGTGGGTAAGCCCCACGCCGGCCGCACAACAAGGCACGCGCGGATGCCCAGATAACGGGATGTTCCGCTCTCACCGCAAGCCCCTCCACGCTCCGACTCTCACCGGCCGGCGGGGCTCGGCGGGGCACGGCGGGGCAGGTGAGGCAGCGGAGGCGTTGAGGCACGACGGTCGCATCATCCACTACACCCTGAAAAAAAGAAGGAAAAGCCATGTCAAATCGACCGAAATTCGGTTGATTTTCGAGTACACAGAACAAACAAAAATTAATCTGGAAAAAAATTTTTGGCCGAAGGTTCCGTCGGAATTGCAAACTACCAAGAATCTTCGTGAATTTACAAGGGTTCTTTCAGCATCATTTTTTTCCCACGGGTGCTTTCGTAAATTTGGGAGACTTAATTTTAAGAGTGTGGTAAGAAATAGCGTTTCGACCAAGGGAGCACTCACCACTAAGAATTGTATGAGTCAAAAGAGTCAGGAATTTTAGCTAACAATAATTCTTAGTGAAAATTTTATTTTTGCGAGATGGACTAGAAAACAATTTTAAGATCGAAAGACGGGAAATTAGACATTGTATCACACCGTGTCTGCGTGTTTCATGTCAAGCACGCTCGCGCTCTGACATTCAAAAAAAAAAAAATGAAAGAAAAACTGAAAAAAATAATATCGGAAACGGAATGCAAGCAACAGGCATTCCCGCCGAGGATTACGACCCAAGACTGTCGTCTTTCTTCCTTTTCGCGCGTATAATCTCGCGTTTTTTCCCTCGCTTTAGTTTTCCACTGATCCTGCTCACTTCCGGCCGGCCGACCGACCGACCTGCTCCGCGTGGACGCCGATGTTGGCGGCCTTGTGACAGTTGTTGTTGTTGTTGTTGGCGGAGGAGCGCACAGTGGCGCGCTGAAGTGCTCAATTGGATGGTTGTTTAGGCGCCGACAAGCGCCGCCGCCCGTGGATGCAGTCGCGTTCCGTCACGAGTTTGTTTTCGGCCGAACCGCGAGTCGGCGCGCTCGGAAACCTTGTTCAAACAGTGAATTTGTTAGTGTACTTTGCAGGAGAATCGAGGTGAGACTGTGAACTCTCCGCTGTTTTGGAGTAGACAACAAAAATAGCATCTTAACAGTCATCATCATCACCATGTCATCGTCGTTATCATGGTCATGATCATCATGGTCATGATCATCATGGTCATGATCATCATGGTCATGATCATCATGGTCATGATCATCATGGTCATGATCATCATGGTCATGATCATCATGGTCATGATCATCATGGTCATGATCATCATGGTCATGATCATCATGGTCATGATCATCATGATCATCATTTAAATCAGCAGCATCAGCATTACCACCATCATCATAATCAGCAGCATCACCATCACCACCACCTCCACCATCAGCATCAGCATCACCATCACCATCAAGATACAAACGAAAACACTTTTGTCGTTCTGAATCCCCATTTCGCACAGTGTAGTCTGCGCACCGCGCTGCACGGCGTGCATGAGATTCGCTCGTCATGCACTCTCCAGGCTCCCCAGCCCACTACACCAGTTTACAGCTCTAGGTCAGAGCCGCGCCGGGGCATTGGCCAGGTATTGGCATCTCTGCAGGTGGCCTTGGCTGCGCCTTGGCTGTGCCCGCCGCTCGGGTAACGACCTTCGGGTGCCATCGGGTGCCTTCGGGTACCTTCGCACAGTGGGCCAGAAGACCGTCGCCGGTGGACAAAACTCCAGATGCGTTTTGAGCTTCAGAGTCGCTAAATGGGACTAGAACCGAACGAGTGACCTCACCAATGGATTGCTCTTTCGGAGAGCAATCCATTGGTGGGGTCACACGTTCGGTTCGAGTCCTGTTTAGTGACACTGGAGCTCAAAACGCGTCCGGAATTTTGACCGCATCCACCGGTCTTCTGGCCCACTGTGCTTCGGGTACCTTCGGGTGTCGTCGGGCCGCTTCGTATTGCCCGAGCCTTGTTGACCAGGATTAATTTATTGCCGTCGCGTGAGAGACGTGGCGTGTGAGTTTCCAGCTAAAGTTCATCACGTTCAGCATGCACACCCGCTCACACACACACACACACACACACACACACACACACACACACACACACACACACACACACACACACACACACAAACAAACACAAACACGCAAACGGGTGCGCGATGCGCGTGTCAGACTGATTCTGGTGGACTGGGGACTTGAATGCAGCGGTCGGTTTGCTTAAGGATCCTCTGGAACCCTAGGAAGAACAAATGTTCCAGTGTATGCACTGAATTCGATGCATATTCGAACTTCAGTTAGATAAACGTAACAAACAAAAAGAGACATGCTTTTGTTTTCCAGTCTACAGTGCTCGACAAGCAGAGAGTTTGGCTTTTCCAACAGTGTAGAAGAAGCAGCATTCCTGTCCGAAATAATGCAATTAAGTGGGCTTTTTTTTGTTCGCCACTCTCCCTTTCGTGCTGACCTTGCTCTTCGCCCGACTCGTCCTCGCCTCTTCCTTTCCACCCTCTCTGCCTCCCCCTCCCACACTGCACGACGCTCCAGCCGAGACTCCAGCCGGCACACTGCGGTGCCGCACTCGGCCGGCGCACAGTGGGCCAGAAGACCGGCGGAAGCGGTCTAAATCCCGGACGCGTTTTGAGCTCCAGAGTCGCTAAATGGGACTCGAACCGAGCTTGTGACCCCACCAATGGATTGCTCTCCGAACGAGGAATCCATTGGTGGGGTCACACGTTCGGTTCGAGTCCCATTTAGCGACTCTGGAGCTCAAAACGCGTTCGAGATTTTGACCGCCTCCACCGGTCTTCTGGCCCGCAGTGCGGTGTTCTCATGTCGCAGGCTGCGTTTCGGCATTCTCGTCACAAACAGCTCATTTCCCCATTTCTTCTTCCTCTTCAAAGAAACCCGGCGGGCTGCCGGTCTGCCCGGCGACGCATCGCGTCTTATTAAACTTGAACTTGTGGCCGCGTTCGAGGCCGCCTCCCTCCCAGTCGCCAAGTCGCCTGTCCCGTCCCACCTGGCGAGGCTTGGCTTGGCGGGGCGGGGCGGGGCGGGGCGGGGCGGGGCGTGGTGGGCCTGACTGGGCAGCCGCGATGTACTTCCGGTGTCCCAGTGCGTAGCGACTGCACTCCTAGCCCCCCTTTGTTACGTACTTACGCCCAACTCGAAGTCCCCCCTCCACCGCACCCCACCCCGCCGCGCCCCGCCCCGCCCCGCCCCGCCCCGCCCCGCCCCACCCCGCCCCGCCCCACCTCGCCCCGCCGCGCCCCGCCCCGCCCCGCCTCGCGCCGGACAAGGTGTGCGTCCTTCCTGCCGGCCCACTGTGTTCCCCTGCGCCAGGCTGCGCCACGTATGGTCACGACGCGGCTCCCCGGAAGTGAGCGACCGGACCGACGCAGCGGACGCAGCCAGCACACTGAGAGTCGTTTTCGTCGCTCTGTCCCTCTCGCACCTACACGGGACGCCGCACGAGTGCGAGAGAGACAGAGCGACGAAAACGACTCTCGGAATCGGCCTGCAGCGAGTCAGTGGTGCCAACGCCGCGCTGCCAATGCGGCACTACACTGCCGAAGGAGCGCTCTGTCTCTCTCGCACTCGCGGCGCGTCCCGTGAGGGTGCGAGAGAGACAGAGCGCTCCTTCGGAATCCGGTGACATTGCGGGCGCCGCGGACGCTGCAGCACCTGACCAGAATATGACGCGGTGTCCTCCGGGCCTTCCCGGCGCACAGTGGGCCAGAAGACCGGTGGAGGTGGCCAACTCTAGACGCGTTTTGAGCTCCAGAGTCGCTAAATGGGGCTCGAACCGAACGTGTGACCCCACCAATGGATTCCTCGTTCGGAGAGCTATCCGTTGGTGGGGTCACACAATTGGTTCGAGTCACATTCAGCGACTCTGGAGCTCAAAGCGCATCCGGGATTTTGACCACCACCACCGGTCTTCTGGCCCACTGTGTGACGATGTCGCATGGGCAGGGGCGGAACCAGAGGACCTTTGGGGGAGACCTTTTCGCTGTTGTTCTACCGCTTGAAACCGTCCCTGAATTCACTTAGATCGGAATCGGTGCCAGAACCGCCAGAACGAAACCAGGAACTGGCGGAAGAGGCTCTCCAGTGACGTCATTGTGGACACTGACACGACGCGAGTAATTGGCCTGTTTTGCTCTCCGTTTTCCGGACAGTTCCGGGCGCTTTTTTACCAGAGGGAGAGGGAGGGGGAGGGAGACAATTCATCCCTCATTAACCCCTCCCTAGCGGCCGAAAATTTTGGCAAAAAGCCACAAAATTGCTACTTTGCCTCTCCCAGAAGCCGGCTCTGGATCTGCCCGTGCTTTAGGCGGTTCTTGGCGCCCCACAGTGGACCAGAAGACTGGCGGAGGCGGTCAAAACTCTAGACGCGTTTTGAGCTCCAGAGTCGCTAAATGGGTCTCAAACCGAGCGTGTGACCTCACCAATGGATTCCTCGTTCGCAGAGCTTCCGTTGGTGGGGTCACACGTTCGGTTCGAGTCCCATTTAGCGACGCTGGAGCTCGAAACGCGTCTAGAGTTTTGGCTGCCCCCGCCGGTCTTCTGGCCCACTGTGCGCCCTCGCCCTCCAGGTCGGACGCCTTGATAACGAAAGGCGGTCACGACTGTCGCGGCGGCCTCACGGTTCGGGCGCCTTATCTTGGCAGCCTTGGGAACCTTGGCACCACACCTGAGTCAAGTCAAGTGTGGGCGGATTCGGCGGTGATGCACAGCAAGAGAGAAAAGAGTTCAAATTATTTTAAAACGTCTAAATTTAGGTAATATTTAGCTGAACAGCTACAGTATAGTGAATTTAATGTGCAAGAGGACAACTTCATCGGTCTCCTGGCAAAACCACTGTGTTCCGGTTCCAGCCGCGGTTCCGTCTCCGCCGTTTTTTCGTCCGCTGTCCGCTTCCTCCTCGCATCCTCCGTGCCCCGCCGTGTTTACTCCGCGCACAGTGGACCAGAAGACCGGTGGAGGCGGACAAAACTCCAGACGCGTTTTGAGCTCCAGAGTCGCTAAATGGTACTCGGACCGAACGTGTGACCCCACCAATGGATTGCTCTCCAAACGAGGAGTCCATTGGTGGGGTCACACGTTCGGGTCGAGTCCTGTTTAGCGACTCTGGAGCTCAAAACGCGTCCCGAGTTTTGTCCGCCTCCACCGGTCTTCTGGCCCACTGTGCCGCGGCCGCCCGATCCGCGGGTCATTGCGCTCGGCCAGCCCGGCCACCGGACTCTGCTGGACTTCCGTAAACAATGGCATTGAGGTTTCATGACGATAGTGGCCGTGCCGTGCCGCGCCGCGCGGGCGTCATGACTGGAGATTTGTAGCTATTGCGATGCACAGCGTTGTTCCTCGAGCAGCAATCAGCTCTGGCCACGCATCGGCCCCGCCGAGCCACGCCACGCCACGCCACGCCACGCCACGCCACGCCGCGCCACGGCGGTGACGGTGACACGGTGGCCTTGGCGCCTGCAGGGCGGGCAATAGGCAACCGCCGGCACAGCGGGCACGCCAGTGGAGCGGGATGCCTACCCCGCCGGGGGCTCCACGGCCCCTCGTCGGATAGGGCAGTGGCTCACAGTGGGCCAGAAGACCGGTGGAGGCGGCCAAAACTCTAGACGCGTTTTGAGCTCCAGAGTCGCTAAGCAGGACTCGAACCGAACGTGTGACCCCACCAATGGATTCCTCGTTCGGAGAGCAATCCATTGGTGGGGTCACACGTTCGGTTCGAGTCCCATTTAGCGACTCTGGCGCTCAAAACGCGTCGGGCCTCTTTGATGATGATGATGTTGATGTTACTAGTGCTGGCGATGATGAGACTTGGCCCCGATCCGCTCGGTACATATTTGCAGACACCGGCCGAGCCGAGCCGGGCCGGGCCTTGCAGCGCATTGTCGCTGCGTTGGGGTAGGTCGCGATCCGCGGCCAGACGCTGCCTCTGGTGGGGGCGGAGGGGGCCTGGCGGGGCGGGGGGCGGGGGCGGAGGGGCCTGGCGGGGCGGGGGGCGGGGGGCGGAGGGGGCCGGCGGCCCGGTGGTGGGGGGCGGTAGAAAAAGGCCCCGCTCCATTAGGCGCGAGCAGTACTTGGCAGATCGCTGCTAGGCGTCCGCGCCGCGCCACGCACGGCAAGGCAGCGAGAGAGCATCGCGAGAGCATCGCTCGTACGGAACAACGCGCGAACCGCGAAGCACCGCGAGTACCGCGAGCACCGCGAGCCCGCGTAGTCGCGACCGGCAAGTCGGCCGCAGCGGGTGACATGCGCCAGTGACACGGAAGTGACACGCGAGTGACACGCCATTGAGTGCCGCCCGAGTGACGCCGAGACGTCGAGTGACTTTGAACTTTGAACCGCGGCCACCCCGCCGTCGCCATGGAGACGGAGACGGACCAGATCCTGTCCAGGACGTCGCTCAAGCCGACGGCGCCGGAGTTCGTGCCCTCGGCGAAGCCCGACGGCGACCCCGCGGCCGTGGTGGAGGCGGTGCCGGAGACGGTGCCGGAGAGCCCGGAGGACTCCGACGACGACGTGCACGTGGTACTCCGGTCGCCGGGGACGTTCCTGCCGCCGCCCATGCGGCACCGCGACACCACCGACAGCCTGGCGTCCACGTCGTCCGTCGACAGCGACCGGTCCGCCGACAGCCCGCTCCGCGACAAGGACAAGGACGACGCCGCCAACATGGGCGACCGCTCCGACACGGGGTCCGAGACCGAGGACGCGCCGCGCGTCGCCGTCAAGGCGGCCAAGCCGGCCGAGTCCGCGGCCACCGCCGACGACGACCTGCCGCCGTTCGAACCGCCGGACGAGGAGCTCAGCCAGCGCATCGTGGACCAGGTCGAGTTCTACTTCTCCGACGTCAACATCACCAAGGACGCGTTCCTGCTGAAGCACGTCAAGAGGAACAAGGAGGGCTACGTGAGCCTCAAGCTCATCTCGAGCTTCAAGCGCGTCAAGCACATCGCGCGCGACTGGCGCGTCGTGGCGCACGCCCTCAAGCAGTCCACCAAGCTGGAGGTGAACGAGGCGGGCACCAAGCTGCGGCGGGTGGACCCGCTGCCGGCGTACGACCAGACCACGCCGTCGCGCACCGTGGTGGCCATCAACCTGCCACACGACAAGCCCACCATCGAGAGCGTGGCCGAGCTGTTCCGGTGCTGCGGCGACATCGCGCTGGTGCGCATCCTGCGGCCCGGCAACCCCATCCCCGCCGACGTGCGCGCCTTCGTGGCCAAGCACCCCGAGATGCACGGCGTCGTGTCCGCGCTGGTGGAGTTCGTGCGCACCGAGTCCGCGCTGGTGGCGGTCGCCAAGCGCGACTGGGACTGGCGCTACGCCGCCGGCGACCTGAGCGGCATGCGCGTCCTGGAGCTCAACGCGCCCGCCGCGGCCGCGCCGCCCGCCAAGAAGCGCGCCGCCAACAAGAAGAACATCCTGGGCAAGCACCCCGAGGACGCGTCCGGCTCCGAGGCCGAGGAGCACCGCTACATCCGGTCGCTGCAGCAGCGCCGCGGGTCGTCGCCGCTCGACTTCCACGGCCCGGGCAGCCCGGTGGCCAAGCACTGGCTGCAGCGGCGCTACTCGCGCGACTCTGGCTGCGAGGACAACCACGGCTTCCACTACCACCGCGCGCCCAGCTCCGGGTCGCTGTACGGCTCCGGGTCCGAGTACTCCCGCAGCCGCAGCAACTCGGCGGCGTCCTTCGACCTGGCCGGCGTGCCGACGCTGGGCGGCCGCCGCATGTCGGCGGGCTGGGACTCGGGGTCCGAGTCATGCTGCTCGGGGCGCTCCTCGCGCTCCAACAGCGCGGCCTTCATCCTGGACGGCGTCCACGGCGTGCACGGCATGACGGCGCTGCGCCGGTGCTCCGCCGGCAAGGACTCGGACTCGGACGGCTACGGGTCCTTCCGGTCCCGGAAGAGCTCCGCCGGGTCCGACATGAGCAGCCGGCGTGACAGCGGCGCCAGCACCGGGCCCTGCTACGTCGGCGGCCGCCGCGGCAGCGCCGCCTCCACCGGCAGCGGCGTCGACGACGACGGCTACCTCGGCGGCCGCCGCGGCTCCCACCAGGGCCACCCCGGCCACCACCTCGAGCACCAGCTGCTGCGCCGGATGGCCGCGCTGGGGCTCGGCGGCGACCACGGCCACCACGGCCACCACCACCACGACTGCTGCTCGTGCGCGTGCTCGCACCACCACGACCACCACGCGCACTCACCCACCGGCCCGGCGCCCGCCGGCTTCGGGCCGCGCCGCAACTCCGCCGAGCTGTCCAGGAAGCCGGCCGTCTTGTTCGCGGCGGCGGCGGCCGCCGCGGCCTCCGCCAGCCAGCCCACCGGCGGCAACCCCGAGCACGCCGCCGTGCGGAGGCTGTCCGGCGCCGGCATCCCCGAGAACATCATGAGGATGCCCCGCGGCCCCGACGGCGGCAGGGGCTTCACCAGGGAGAACGACATCCCCGAGGTGTGCTAGGAGCACCTGGTTCACCAACCTCACCCGCCAACGCACAGCCTGGGGGCTTCACCAGGGAGAACGACATCCCCGAGGTGTGCTAGGAGCGCCCGGTTCACCAACCTCACCCGCCAACGCACAGCCTGGGGGCTTCACCAGGGAGAACGACATCCCCGAGGTGTGCTAGGAGCACCCGGTTCACCAACCTCACCCGCCAACGCACAGCCTGGGGGCTTCACCAGGGAGAACGACATCCCCGAGGTGTGCTAGGAGCGCCCGGTTCACCAACCTCACCCGCCAACGCACAGCCTGGGGGCTTCACCAGGGAGAACGACATCCCCGAGGTGTGCTAGGAGCACCCGGTTCACCACCTCACCCGCCAACGCACAGCCTGGGGGCTTCACCAGGGAGAACGACATCCCCGAGGTGTGCTAGGAGCGCCCGGTTCACCAACCTCACCCGCCAACGCACAGCCTGGGGGCTTCACCAGGGAGAACGACATCCCCGAGGTGTGCTAGGAGCACCCTGTTCACCAACCTCACCCGCCAACGCACAGCCTGGGGGCTTCACCAGGAAGAACGACATCCCCGAGGTGTGCTGGGAGCACCCAGATTCCTCCAGCCTCATACGCCAACGCACAGCCTTGGTGAGGGGCTGAGCCACGCAAGAAGAAAGTGAGAAATGCCAGTTTTTGAAAGTCGATTCGAATTGCGGGAATTCGAGAAAAGTGCTGTGAGCCCTACAGCGGGCACGTGACTTACAGTGGACTCCCCTGTGGTCGGCGGCGCCTCGGCGCCTGTCCGCTTTCTTGAGTGCCAATTGTCTGTAAACGGTCTGACCGTTTCCGCGGTGCCGTTCCACTGTAAAAAGCTAGTTTTAATCCTCAACGAACTTCCGCTATAGTGTAGCAGCGAGGCGGATTAGAGTGTCGCGGCAGCACAGTGGTGTGCGCAGGCAGGCGGTTCTGCGCTGCGAACCTTCCCCTTGAGGGGATTCCCATTTTGGCGACGGTCGCGTCGACCTCGCGAGGCGCGGCGGAGAGTGACCCCCCCCCCCCCCTTTCGCGGCACTTTCGCGCCCTCCGCGGTCTGGCGGCCTTGAGCCGCTCTTCGGCCCGACCAAGGTCGCGCGGGGGCGGGGGGCACCGCCCTGCACCGCCCGTCCTTGCGGGGCCGCCACCGCACAGTGGGCCAGAAGACCGGCGCAGGCGGCCAGAACGCCAGACGCGTTTTGAGCTCCAGAGTCGCTAAACAGGGCTCGAACCGAACGTGTGACCCCACCAATGGATTCCTCGTTCGGAGAGCAATCCATTGGTGGGGTCACACGTTCGGTTCGAGGCACGCCCCTCAAGTCGATGCGGCGATTCCGCAACAAAGTTACATCGTCGGCGGCGCGGACACGAGTCCCCCGCCCGGCCGCCTCTTTCTGAGGGATTCTTAATCCGGTCGCCCTGTCTCACTCACTCCCCTGAGCTGCCCCACGAGTGCGACAGAGACGGAGCGACGCCGGCTGGAGGCACACTGGAAGTGAGCAGCGACCAGCAGGTGTCCGCTCTGCGGACTGACTCACTCCGAGAGTCCTTTCTCGTCGCTCCGTCTCTCTCGCACCTGAACGGGGCGCCGCACGAGTGCGAGAGAGACAGCGCGGCGAAAAAGGACTCTCGGAATCGGTCTGGGCCGGCCGCCGAGGCCGGCGGGCCGCGCGCGGCTTGGGCGGCGGCACCGGGCGGAGACGATTCGTGTCACGAACTCACGCGCGCACACACACACACACACACACACACACACACACACACACACACACACACACACACACACACACATGCAAAACGCACACATGCACGCAGGGCGCTGCAACATCAAACGAGAAGGTCATGTGCGAGGGTGACACGCGTTGACGCGACGGGTAAACAGCGTCGGCGTCCTCCGCCACCCCCGCCTCTCTCTCTCTCTCTCTCTCTCTCTCTCTCTCTCTCTCTCTCTCTCTCTCTCTCTCTCTCTCTCTCTCTCTCTCCATCATTCGGAGTCAAACTGTGCAGTGCGGGGCGCTCCGCGAGTGCGACAGAGACATGGGGCGTTCCCTTGACACGCTTACGGCCCTCGGCGGCCCTTGGCCCTTCGTGGAGGAAGTCCCTTATTAGCCCGTCTGCATTTTTGTAGGGCTAGGTCGGGCCGCGTCTGTCTGGGAGGGTTATTATCGGCCACCCCGCTTCCGAGGGAGGGGAGGGGATTGGCAGGGGAGGGAGGGGAGGGGAGGGAGGGGGAAGGGGCTTTCCTGCCCCTGGCCGCGGTGGCCGCAGGACGCAGGACTCCAGGGGGGCAGGACACCGACTAGTCATTGACCTATATATCCCGCCAGGAAAGCCCGCTGTGCGGCGCAGCCTCCGAGCCGCTCCGTGCCCCGCAGGGTCCACGCACAGTGGGCCAGAAGACCGGTGGAGGCGATCCAAATCCCGGACGCGTTTTGAGCTCCAGAGTCGCTGAAAGGAACTCGAACCGAACGTGTGACCCCACCAATAGCTTGCTCTCGGAACGAGCAATCCATTGGTGGGGTCACACGTTCGGTTCGAGTCCCATTTAGCGACTCTGGAGCTCAAAACGCGTCTAGAGTTTCGGGCCGCCTGCGCCGAGTCTTCTGGCCCACTGTGCGCCGCTCCGTGCCCCACAGGGTCCGCGGGGCTCCCTCCAGGGGGCCCGGGGGCCGCGGAGGAGGTGCCCCCGAGAGGGAGGTCGCGTCGGGCTGCATCAGTCGGTATGGGCCGTCACTGTCAGCGGCATTCTTATTCGCAGCATGGAGTTATGAATGGCACACAAACACACACACTCACTCACACACACACACACACACACGCACACACACACTGACACACTCGCATGTAGATACAACGACACACGTAGGCACGCACACACTACCGATCGGGTTGATGTGACGACAGCGCGATGCGCCATGGGCTGCCATGGGCGGACGCGGAGACGCCGAGACATCACCTGCGCGTCGTCGGGAGCGGCGCGTCGCCGTCCGTGTAGGCAGTGTAGGTGACAAGGGCGTCCATTGTCCCTGGGGCCCGACGGCCGGCCATCCCCGGCCCCACACTGTAGGGGCGTTCCTCCAGTGTCGCAGACGTTTTATATCGACTTGGACAGGACATAGTCTGGATAGAAAACCCCTTGCGATTTTGTAGAACTTTGTTATTTTTGAATTCATAGTTCATTCCCAAAACCTAGTTGAGGCCTATCAGAGAAGAGAAGTGACTAAGTATTTGAAGCATTCGTAAGCTTACTAACTAAATACTTCCCAATTTACGAACTACTCGGGATGCCAACTCAAATAGTTTTGCCCCCCCCCCCCACCGTTTTCCCTGCAGTCCTCGCACGGCGAAAAACGGGGCGTTCTGCCCATCCGATTCGGGGAACGCGGCTCGCTGCCTCCGCCCACCGAGACCCTGAAGAGAGAGAGAGAGAGAGAGAGAGAGAGAGAGAGAGAGAGAGAGAGAGGAGAGAGAGAGAGAGAGAGAGAGAGGAGAGAGAGGAGGGAGAGAGAGAGAGAGGAGAGAGAGAGAGAGAGAGAGAGAGAGAGAGAGAGAGAGAGAGAGAGCGGCCAGTCGGCTGGTGGTCAGACCCTGACCACCCTCTCGGCATGTCCGGTTGGCCAATCGCTTGGTCACAGCGGGCCGGCCTCCACGGCCTCCACGGGGTCAACGCCAACGGCGTGACTGCGGCTTTCCAAAAGCAGCCGGCCAAAACTCTTGACGCGTTTTGAGCTCCAGAGTCGCTAAAAGGGCCACGAACCGAACGTGTGACCCCACCAATGGATTCCTCGTTCGGAGAGCAATCCATTGGTGGGGTCACACGTTCGGTTCGAGGCCCTTTTAGCGACTCTGGAGCTCAAAACGCGTCTCGGGTTTCGGCCGCCTCCACCGGTCTTCTGGCCCACTGTGGAAGCTGCGTCCTTCCTTCCTGAACCGATTATTGATGGAAGAAGTTCGAGCGGATCGACGCGGGCTCGGCCGACATGGCCACGGCGAGGTGTCGAGGCCACCGAGCACGCAGCGTCGGCGCTCCGCAGCTCTGCGGCGCTCTGCGGAGCGGCGTGACAGGCAGATCTCCTTTCCTCCTTTTTACCCCGCATTCTCCGTTGTCTTCTCTCCTCCTTCCTCTTCCCCTTTCTTCCGTTCCGGCTGACCTCGAAGGCCGAAGGAGCGCGCCACGCGGCGCCACGGGCAGGACCACTGGGTCGGTATCGATACAGCGATACATTGAGAGCTCGATCGAGAGGCGCAATGACCCCGAGGTCGCCGCCGGCCGGCCTCGGTCTCTCTCTCTCTCTCTCTCTCTCTCTCTCTCTCTCTCTCTCTCTCTCTCTCTCTCTCTCTCCCACTTCCGTCACCTGGGAGTGATAAATTGGTCTGGAGACACTTTGCCAAAGTCGGCAGTGTTTTGTTTGGCAGAGCAGAAGCGTCGTCCGTCCAGCAGACGATTCTACCAAACTAAGGGCGATAAATCTATATTTATTTTGGTTATTTGTATGCATGCAATAATTGAGACAGATACTGGATGACCGACGCTGCGCTTTTCGAGCAAAACACTTACGTCTCCTTCTTGTCCTTTCGAGTTAGTTTCCGTTCCCACAACCGATTTTTAGTACCGCGACGTAGTCGGAAGCACACTAGGCGTGCCGAAACCCAAATTGCCGAAGTGGCGCCAGGATGACGTCACTTCCGGTCAAATTCATAGACTACTTCTCCTAGACGCCCTCTCTTCCGGCGCGTCTCTCGAAGACTCTCTCGAAGGCCGACCGAGAGGCGGCAGCGCTCCCCGGACCCTTTGATTTGAAGGAGGAGGACTGGACGCCCGCCTTCATTTCCTTCCACTCAATAGACGCCCCGTCACTGCAGTCAGGGCCCTGGCCTAGTCACACACACTCACACACACACACACACACACACACACACACACACACAAAACCACACACACACACGTCATGTCATATTCGCACTCGGTCACCGTTTGCGTGCCGGCAGTCCGTATATGTTCGCTGCGCAAAAGGAGTGCTAGGACCCACACACATGAGCCGCGCGGCTCGACTTGACCTCCCGCCGCAGCAACACCGCAACAACAACAACAAAAACAACAACAACCACGACGACAACAACAACAGTGCGACACTGAATCGCTCCTATTCTGCCGCCCGGGTTGACTCGCGTTCGTGAATCAAAATTGCATAACCGCGATCATTGCCTCGGTCGTTCCACCACCATCGTTCCGCCGTTGCAATCCGTATTACCAAAAAAAAAAAAGAAAAAAAAAAGAAAAAAAAAAAAAGAGTCGTTCCCGCCGGAACCGCTTGCTGCACTTCCCCGCAGAGGTTGCCAACTTCCCAAAAATAAATTCAAATTCAGGCGTCGCTGCCTCTTGAGCGGCGAGCGTAACAATACAAAATCATTTAATCGAATTATTTTTAAATTAGGTACCTAATGCGTAAGCGCACACTACGCCAAACCGCGTAAGAGATGCAAACGCCTAAATCTTTTTTTTTTTTTTAATTTTTTTTTTTTTGCGAAGTTGGTACCCTCCGCTTCCTCGCTGGTCATGACTCACCGCGCCGCGCCGCCAGGCTGACCTCCCAAAGCAGCATATGGCTGATGCTATCTCGACTGGGGCACTGGAACAGGTTAGGTCGCAGCCTGCTGTCAACTAACAGGCCTCTGTGGACACTGAGGGACTTTGAACACGACGTGTTCAAAGTCCTTTACATTTTGAGATAGGTTTTATTTATGTTTTTAAATTATGATTTTTTTCCCCCGGGCGGACGATGAGTTTTTCTGCCCTTATTTGTAAATGTGTACATTCTAGTTCCCTAGTTACTTCCCTTTCATTTCCTAGCCATAAGAATCGAACGATTTTTCTTGATTGCATCGTTGCCCGAGCGACGGCAATAATTGTAACGAACAGTTACCGTTTGGAATTAGTCAGTATGGTTGTGTTTAGTTGTTAACGGAGCGCGCTCGCTGGAGCATTGACAGTGTACAGTAGTTTGACGTTGCACGCAGGTACCGCTATTCCTTTGTCAAAGCGCCAGCGAGTTCATCTAGTAAATTAATAACGTTAATTAATAAGCGCGCGTTCGACGAGTACGACAATTTTGTGATCGAAAAGTATTGAGAGCATTGAGTCCTGTTGTTGAGGAAAAGTTACCCACTACGTTTTAAGTTGATCTGTATTTCTTAGAGTAAGTCGGAGTTTCCTGTGTGGAATGTGTGGGAACGCCAGTCTCGCGTCAAGTTGTAAATAAACCGTAGCAATAAGTCTTAGGTTAACAACGTTCCTTTTTGAAACAATGTGTCATTTTTTTGTGTTTACCTCTCTCACCGCAGTGTGGCTCTTATACGGTACATCTGTGATAAACAGTGCTGAATCGTTTTATTGTTTTTTTTTTGTTTAAGAGAAAAATAAAGATAAAATGCAACGATTTCCAATGACTTTGAGTGGTTCGTGTGCCTTGTACATAGTAATGTAACCAGCTGAAGAGCAAAGCCATCCATTTGTACATAGGTTTTTGCTCCCCAGTGTCGTTCTCATGTCGTGTCGTTCTAATTTATTTTTATTTAATATACACGTTGATACCTAAACGGTCTTCTTCATTGCCCCTTCCCGAACAACACGCCCAGAACACAGTGGGCCAGAAGACCGGTGAAGGCGGACAAAACTCTAGACGCGTTTTGAGCTGCAGAGTCGCTGCAGGACTCGAAACGAACGTGTGACCCCACCAATGGATTCCTCGTTCGGAGAGCAATCCATTGGTAGGGTCACACGTTCGATTCGAGTCCCTTTTAGAGACCTTGGAGGTCAAAACGCGTATATAGTTTTTTCCGCCTCCACCGGTCTTCTGGCCCACTATGCAAGGGGGGACATTGTTTACCGAATCGCTAAGCACATCTTGACCACACACGTGACAGCGGAGCTAGCGGCCGCATTCGATTAGCTCGAACTTGACTGTTGTGTCGACCTCCGCGACTGCGTCACTTCGGTACCGTTGGCATAATTGCCACGTGCCGTCGCTCTGTCTCTCTCGCACCCGTACGGAACGGCCCATGAGTGCGAGAGAGACAGAGCGACGAAGGCAATTGGACGGCTCTCACGGCGTAACATGCAGCGCAGTGCGAGGCCTAGGAGCTGATTCCGGACATCTTTGCTCTGTCTCTCTCGCACTCAACGGGGCTCCCAATGAGTGCAAGAGAGAGAGAGAGAGAGAGAGAGAAAGAGAGAGAGAGAGAGAGAGAGAGAAGAGAAGAGAAGAGTGAGAAAAGCAATGTTCGGAGTCGGCTCACTCAGCGCCTGCGAAGCTAGGATAGGCAGTCCCGCTAGACAGCGGTGCACGGCGTTGCCTACCCGCAAGGCGCTCCCGTAGGCTTTTAAAGCTCCAGAGTCGCTAAATAACACTCGAACCGAACGTGTGACTCCACCAATGGATTGCTCGTTCGAAGAGCAACCCATTGGTGGGGTCACACGTTCGGTTCGAGTCCCATTTAGCGACTCTGGAGCTCAAAACGCGTCTGGGATTTCGACCGCCTCCTCCTGGTCCATCCAGTGTTGCCGCAAAAGAAGGCAGCGTGTTGACCAAAAGAATGCAAGGTTTGAGCATTTAAGTCCACAATTTTATTCGGCCAAGTAAGAAACACGCTAAGACTTACATTTCCCCGACACAACCGCTGAGGGTGAGAGGCTCACGCCACGCGCCAAGAAGAAGCATTGCAGGCTGATAACGAAACCGCGCTTCGGCGCTCTCTCTCGCACGCATGGGACGTCCCGTAGGGGTGCGAGAGAGACAGGAACCGTTTAAGAATCAGCCCGCCGCGTAGTGCGCCACGCCGCCACGCGCAGTGAGCCACACCTACCCGTACAGTACACCGCACAGTGGGCCAGAAGACCGGTGGAGGCGGCCAAAACTCTAGACGCGTTTTGAGCTCCAGAGACGCTAAATGGACCTCGAATCGAGCGTGTGACCCCATCAATGAATTGCTCTCCGAACGAGGAATCCATTGGTGGGGTCACACGTTCGGTTCGAGTCCCGTTTAGCGACTCGGGAGCTCAAAACGCGTCCGGGGTTTTGGCCGCCGCCACCGGTCTTCTGGCCCACTGTGCCCCGCCCCCACCTGGTCAACCCCTGAGTGGCCACACCCAGTCGGCGTCCGGGTCACCAGCCGTCTCCCTCGCACTCAGCGGTGGGACGCGTCCGAGGCGCCCCCTCCCTCTCTGTCGCACTTCCAGTCGCTGGCGGGAGCGAGAGGAGCGACAGACGCCCTCGGACGCGTGCTAGAGAGAGACGGGGCTAATTACAAAGGTAGGCAACCCGCGCCGCTCGGCCGGGCTCCGGGCAGCGGGGCGCAGTGAGGACCCCGTCGCGACGCCAGCAACAGGGTGCCAGGCCGCTGCAACACCACGTAGGCAGGCTGACGTTTCCACCCTGTCACAGTGGGCCAGAAGACCGGTGGCGGCGGCCGAAACTCTAGACGTGTTTTGAGCTCCAGAGTCGCTAAATGGGACTCGAACTGAACGTGTGACCACACCAATGGACCCCTCGTTCGGAGAGCAATCCATTGGTGGGGTCACACGTTCCGTTCGAGTCCCATTTAGCGACTCTGGAGCTCAAAACGCGTCCGGGATTTTGGCCGCCCCCACCGGTCTTCTGGCCCACTGCACACTGGTGCATTGTGGGAATATTTGCCCACTTACGAGGCAGCGCTGCAGACCGCGCTGTGCCAAAGTTCCAGGGGGACGCAAGCAAGGACGAAACCAGTAGTGACTGCGTTCTGAAAGCTCTAGAAGCTCTGCAAGCTCTGCAGGCGACGTCAGTGCAGGGAATCGAACCCACGGCCCGACAAGTGGAGCCGCAATCATGGGCAACAAACTGGTCACCTTCACGGAGGAGCAACTCAACGACTACCAGGACTGTACATTTTTCACCCGGAAGGAAATCTTGCGGTAGGTACTGTACAGTGTGAGCCTCGGAAACTCGGAAACTCGCGCCGGAGTGGACTCGACTCATTTCCATTCACGGAGCGCAACTGGCTATGTAACGGTGCCTTAGAGGCTGCAATTGTTTGATGCACTATGAAAACTACCAAGATGCATTTGTTTGATGCACTATGAAAACTACCAAGCTGCATTTGTTTGATGCACTATGAAAAGTACCAAGCTGCATTTGTTTGATGCACAATGAAAACTACCAAGCTGCATTTGTTTGATGCACTATGAAAATTACCAAGCTGATTGAACCAATATTTATTCGGTTTTCTCAATAAATCAGTCTTTTTTACCGAATTTAGCGTCGAATTTCCACTATATTTTTTTAAAACAGGGTCCACAAGAAGTTCCGTGAGCTGCAGCCCGACCTAGTGCCCCGCACCATGACCAAGGACGACGCCGTGCACGTGCGCGTCGCCAGAGATATCATGGAGCGGCTACCGGAGCTCAGGGCAAGTCCCCGACGACGCACAGTGGGCCAGCACTCTAAATGTTCTACAGTGAAGATTCTCCATATTATGGTGAAAATGTTCCATATTATGGTGGTGCAGCTGACCTCGTAACATACCATTGAGAATTCACCGTACCTTATAGATATTTTGACGAATTTTGTTGGTATTATGGAGAAAATCCCCACCATAATATGTTGGTGCAGCCTTTCACCGTAAGACATTTACAGTGAGAAGACCGGTGGAGGCGGCCAAACCTCTAGACGCGTTTTGAGCTCCAGAGTCGCTAAATGGGACTCGAACCGAACGTGTGACCCCACCAATGGGTTGCTCTCCGAACGAGGAATCCATTGGTGGGGTCACACGTTCGGGTCGAGTCCCATTTAGCGACTCTGAAGCACAAACGCGGCTGGAACTTTGGCTTTGGCCACCGGCGCCGGTCTTCTGGCACACTGTGAATCCCGCATGTGAGGACCCGCTCGGCGCTACTCCAAGCGACAGAGAGCGCCGAGCTTGATGGGCTGCCTACCTGCCAGGCTGCGATGCACAGCGCGACTGTGGAAGAACCCTTGGAAGCTGCACCATGTAACCGGCGTTTTCGATGTTCAGGAGAACCCATTCAAAAGTCGGATCTGCGAGGTGTTCTCCTCCGACGGCAAAGGCAACTTGTCGTTTGAAGACTTCCTGGACATGCTGTCCATTCTCAACGAGCACGCGCCCAGGGACATCAAGGTGTACTACGCCTTCAAAATCTACGGTACTGGAAGATTTTTTTGGCCTAAACAGGACTCGAACGGAACGTGTGACCCCCACCAATGGCTTCCTCGTTCGGAGAGCAATAATCCATTGGTGGGGTCACACGTTCGGTTCGAGTCCCATTTAGCGACTCTGGAGCTCAAAACGCGCCGAGACGGTCACTCATTTCGGATTCTCATTTCAGATTTCGACAACGACCAGTTTCTTGGTCCGTCTGACTTGCAGCAGACGTTGCGTCTACTCACGCAGTCGCAGTTGTTGCCAGAGGAAATGACCCAGGTGCGTTTCTTTGACAATCCTTTTTTTGTTAGCGACGGCGGAAATGTGTCCCATACCACTTCCATAACAAGCAGGGAGCAGCGTGGTCTCTTTTATACACTGAATGAAACGTTCATTAGCTCCAGCTACTAGTTAAGATGTTTGACAACACGTACAACCTGCTCCTCACAGGCGCGGTTTAAGGAGCCCCCAGTGTATTTTTTGCCTACCTACAGGGGCATGTAGGCGTTTCTAGGGAATCTAACCGGGACGATTCCTCCTCCCCCTTTTTTTACCTCCGCCTCTCCTTGAACCGCCTGCCTCCTCAGGCAAGTGTCACTCATCAAGATAAATATTCAACGCTGCAAAATATACTCTTGTTCCAGGTTTGCGAGAAGGTGGTGGACGAGTGCGATGTGGACGCCGACGGCCGGCTCTCCTACATGGAGTTCGAGCACGTCATCACTCGAGCCCCCGACTTCCTGTCCACCTTCCACATCCGCATCTAGTTTGGCGCGAACCGGAAGGAAATCAGGCAGCGCGGATTTCAGCGCCATCCGCCTTCTTCGTATACAACTTTCGAAGCCTACGGAGCACGCAACGCGATTCTTTGAACGAATCGATCCCTTTCCAATACCACACAATCATGCTGTTTTGAATAAAGGCGAATAATGGTTCTATGAAAAGCATTAAAATCATTTTCCGTCGAGTACCGAAATGTAGATTAAACGTTGCGCGCAACACCATCGTTCATCTTTTTCCATAGTGGAAACCTGGTGCTGGTGTTGCTGCTCAGATGCGGGGAATGAGATGCCAGATAGAACTTACCTCCGCAGTCCTCCTGCTCCGGATCGCTGACTCGCTCGCTGGTTCACTGGACTGGCTGGCTCTAGACCCGAAGAGCGCCGATGTAGGCGACGGGCGCGGGGCGGGGCGGAACACTCACAGTGGGCCAGAGCCAGAAGACCGATGAGGGTGGTCAAAAGCCGTCCGGTCTTGAGCTCCAGAGTCGCTAAATGGGACTCGAACCGAACGTGTGACCCTACCAATCCTCTCCGAACGAGCAATCCATCGGTGGGGGTCACACGCTCGGTTCGGGTTCTGTTCAGCGACTCTGGAGCTCAAAATGCGTCTAGAGTTTCGGCCGCCTGCGCCGGTCTTCTGGCCCACTCGCCCACTGTGCGGCGCGGACCACAACACTAGCAGACAGCAGGCAGATGGGCGCGGCCCATCAGCTGGATTATGGAACACTCGCACTGAGTGTTTTGTACTACAGCCACATCTTTGGCTGTTTTCTCTTTCTTGCTTCGCCCAGGCATTGCCGCTGAACTGCAGAAAAGCACTAGGCAGTGTGGCAGCATTTGAAACGTTGAATGGCTCGCGCTTGGATAGCAGACAGCAGACGACACAGTCATTTGTTCAACATGACAGCGAACTTGAAAGGCAGTGAAGTCATAGTTGTTTTTTGCTGATTCGCCAGCCCTCTTCTCGTTCTATATTTTCTCTTTGATTGAAAATGACTCGTGGATTTCCCCTATTTTTATGAGAGAAAGGACAGCCGTATCTTCTTAATACTTAATTTAGCAAGAAACAATTTTCCGTGCTCAATTGCTGTGAACAGCCGACGCCGAAATTATGCAAGTTGTGTTAATTTCCCAACACACGAACCAGTAAATAAACTTGCTGAGTCAAAGGTATGTCACGGTATCATTTGATGGCTCCTTTTCGAACAGAGTGAAGATTCAAAATCATCATTCTGCCGATCGGTTTAACTTACCACCAGGGCAAGGTTAGGTTTTCCTTTGTTTGCCCGTTTATTTTAGTCTGCTACAATGGTTATGTTTTTTGTTTTGTTATCATATGACTTATGTCAACTGTCGTGTAGAGTAACTTCAATTTAAGAAATTTATCTTACCTTCGTCATTGAATATTATAGTTGCTAAATCTTTTGCACCTCAATGCATCACTTTGTCTATTTGTCATCCGTGTCATCTTTGTGTATTTCATGGTAGACATGTAAATGACAGTCCTGCTTAATAATTCAACCAGAGTTCAATGTCTTCTTTTTTTTATTGAGGCGCAATCTCATATTTTATCCTTTTGTCACTCATGCTTTGTCTTTCTCATGCCATTTCTTAAATTGCAAGTGTTTTTATTTTTCAGAATTTGAAGAGTAGCTATGTCCTATTATAATTTTGATGGGGAGTTCCGGCGCATGCCGCAGCAGTCCCTTGGAGGCGCTAGCAAAGTTGAGGACAGAGGTGAACTTATTCGTAGAGCACATTTTGAACGTCAAAAAAGAGAGGTGAGTGTTGTCTTTCAGCATCTGCATGCACCATTTCTGTGCGAGTTCTTGCTAACCTTTGTGTTTTTATGTGCTCTTCTAGGAACAAAGACGCAAGCTCAACAGTGTCAAAGTAATCCAAGCATTAGTTCGTAGTTTTCTGACAAGGACAAGTCAAAAACGGTCAAAACGATCTGAATTTGATAGCTTATTGTCGAGTTGTGGGAACAATGTTGATTGGAAGACTTTGTGTGGTCTCACTTCGCGATTGCTATTCTTTTACTCCCCAGATGTAGATGAGTCGAGGCTGGTGAGTACTGAATCATTGAATCCTCCTTGATCTTGTTACTTTAACATTCTCATCATTACTGTTGTTGGATTACAGTCGAGTATTCTTGAAGCATTGCTGAAACAAAAAGCTGCAGTTTATGGAGCAGCTCTGAAAGCTGGTGACCCATGGCAATGGCGATTGCGCCGCTTACTCTTATTAAGTTTGCAGTATGTATGCTCAGCACGCTCAAAGGATGCCAACACCTTTCCACTGAGAGTGATAGAGGTATTTACGTCAATGGATCATGTCCAACAAGTCCTCGGTGCTCATGGAGCTGTCCAGCATATGAGTAGTACTTATTCCTTCCTTGTTGAGAAAGGTATGTCTTTTATGCTGCATGCCAAGGAACTTTGAAACATTGTTATGTAACGTACTCATTTTTCCTTTTCATCCCAAGGTTATATGCAATATGTAAGAGAACTCCTTGATAGCAGAACCCCGCCATTACTTGAATCCTCAACACATCCTCCTACACCACTTGTTGGCTGTCTTCTAGATATGCTTGTCCGACCACTACATTTGGTCTCTCAGACTACTGACCATAACACTAGGTAATAGAATATTTTTCAAAGTGAGATTTCTTTCATGTAGCTTTATTGCTCACAAGTGTAGCCTGCATTCTGACTAATATTGACCTTGTGTAATCTCTACCGTATTTTCTATTTTCAGAGTGATTTTATTGAAAGGATTCTGTGAGAGCATACTCTGCCCCCAGCTTACAGAACCAATCAAACTATTTGTATTGCCAGCCCTGTCTCAGCTCTCCAGTTTCCCATTTGTTGCCCTGACAGAAGCACTCTGTTATGATCTCCGAACTGTGGTTCCATTCACGTCAGTTCTGCTCTACTCCTTCTTGACGCTTGATCCGTCTAATCTTAGTAAGTCACTCTTTTCCTTGCCTTTGAAAAAATTTGCCTGCTTTAACTGTCACTAATTTTCTTTTCCTACTCAGGGCAAAATGAAATGATGCCCAAACCATTTCTTCAGAGCTATCTTCAGATTCTAGCATCTCTAACTTCTAAAATGAGTCAAGTGTTGCCACTTGCTGCCAAGCGGAAAGCTGATGATGATTCAGACCATGATTCTGATTGCGAAATAGACAACAGGAGAAAAGGAGTGAACAATGAGGAAATCCAGGTAAGATTCTAATGTTCTTATTTCCTGTTGTCTTCTGAACTATCTTTTACTATTATTGTGCAATGTTTCAGGTGATTGAAGAATGTGTCTTCCTCATCAATAACCAAACAAGAGTGCAAACTTTACTGACTTCTTTAGAAGCTTGTGCAGGCGATCCTTTAATCCTGCAGCCTTTATGTCAAGTTTGCCACAATCTTCTTGTCTCACACCGATCAGCTACTCATCGCTACCGCATTTTAAATTTGTTGGCTCTGAGACCATCATTCTTGCGAGCAGTTTGGACTGCAGTTTTGGCAGTCACCCAGACATCTATTTTTGGAGAAGCCACTCCCTTACTAAATGTAATTGCAAGAGGTGTTCAGACTACGCCAGATGATTCTGTCAAGATTGTCCCCCTGTTAGCTGTTTTTTGTTCACTGTATACCATGCTTCTGATCACTCTGCATGATGCAGAGTTTTACTCTGATCAAATAAGTGGTAAGATTTAAACTACAACACTTTCTGCTTTAAAAAAAAAATCCCTATTTTCATTTTATACTTGTTTTTCTTTTGGTGTATTTCAGCTTTGGGTGTGCCTCCTCAAATTATGCCATTTACATTAGATGAATTAATTTTCATAAGTCTTCGGCTGAAGGAAGTGAGCCTAGGCCTGGTCGAGCTTGCCTTTCCAGAATCAAGGCCATCTGTTCGGGAAGATTATCGCACAGCTGTGACCACTCTTCATGACCATCCCATTGTATCCCCTACTGCTCAAGACACTCAGATGTGGTCACATCTCTTCAAGGTAAACTCCAGATTTAGAGTTTTAGTTCTATTTTCTATCTTGTAAATCACCATTGTATAAGTTACCTCAATTTTTCCCCTTTTCTCAGGTGGTGGTTGGACTTGTACAACAACTTCATGCACGTGATTTGAGAAGACAGTTCTGTCCAACAGACCACTGGATATCAAAGCAAATTGTCATCCCAATGGAAAAACCCAAAGACTTCATAATTCGTAGGCAACGGTTAAGAGCGTATAGACCATTCCAGACGATCCGTGTCTTTACTCGCGACGAACTGGGTAATGTTATCTCTAACTTGTCTTTTAAAACTTGGTTAGTAGCAATGTTGTTATGAGTTGTTAATTTTGTTTGCTTTGTTTCAGTTGACGGACCGCCTCTCACAACAAAAGAAGTCAGGGTTTTAACTATTCTTAGGGAATTACCATTTTTAGTAGCCTTCCAGGAAAGAGTTCAGGTTTTCCAATCTCTAGTTTATAAAGACAAAGTAGAACACCAGGGAGAGGATGTTCAGTTCCTCCTCGGTAGAATTATAAATTTAAATGTAAGAAGGTCCCATTTATACGAGGATGCCTTTGACAAGCTCTCTCCTGAAAATGGTGAGTTCGTCAAGTTTTCTCTCTAGAAGAAGAGTCTACTTGTTCTATTTAATATTATTGTCATTGTTTTTATTACTTATTATGAATACCTTGTGATGTATTGCAATTTAAAGATTCATGAAGCATATGTTTGCTTTTTTGTTTTCTAGAACCTGACCTGAGGCTCAAAATGAGAGTGCAGTTAACTAATGTTGCTGGAGCTGAAGAAGCTGGAGTTGATGGTGGTGGACTCTTCAGAGAATTTTTATCTGAACTGTTGAAAACAGCCTTTGATCCAAATAGAGGCTTTTTTAGAACAACTAATGACAATTTATTGTATCCCAATCCCAATGTGCATCTGATTGTTGAAGATTTTACACGTCACTACTATTTTATAGGTCGAGTTCTTGGAAAGGTATAGTAAACAGTGGTAAAAACTTTTTCTTCTATCTATTTTTTGTTTCACATTTTAATTGAAACCTGTTCTTTTCCAGTGCTTATATGAGAATCTTTTAGTTGAATTGCCCCTGGCAGAGTTTTTCTTATCGAAACTTATTGGAAGGAATTCTGATGTTGGTGTGCACCACCTGGCATCACTTGATCCTGTCATGTACAAAAATCTCCTTTTCCTCAAAAACTACAAGGAAGATGTTGCTGATCTGGGTCTTGATTTCTCTGTTGTGAATGATGAGCTTGGTGAGACAAAGGTATGATAGCTTAGTGTATATGTATATTTCCCATGTATGGTTTATTATTCTGTCCCTCATTAACACCTTTCATTTCATTGGTTTAGGTTGAGGAGCTTAAACCAGGAGGCTCAAATATTCCTGTAACATCCGTTAATCGAGTGGAATACATCCATTTAATGGCTGACTACAAATTGAATAAGCAAATCCGAGCACAGTGTAATGCTTTCCGGCAGGTCTGTACATGTCTTTTTCAGTCAGCCCTTTTTCCTCTTCTGGTTTTTTCATTTGTTGTGACTCTTTTTGTCTTAACTTGCAGGGGTTAGCAAATGTTATTCCTTTAGAATGGATTCAAATGTTCAACAACAAGGAAGTACAAGTTCTTGTTTCTGGTGCAGAGATTCCTGTGGATGTGGAAGATTTGAAAAATCACACTAACTACACAGGTAGTTTTTATTCTATTTGATCTTTTTGTCTTCTGCCGTCAAATTCTTATAATTTATGAAATTTTTGATGTCCTAGGTGGTTATGATACAAATCATGAGACAATACGATTGTTTTGGAAAGTTGTTCACAATTTCACTGACATCCAGCTTCGCCAACTTCTTAAATTTGTTACAAGTTGCTCTAGACCTCCATTGTTAGGTTTCAAGGTGGGCTTTAACTTTATCTGTTGTTAAAAAAAAATGTGACAGCCAAAAAGATAAACAAATCAAACCCATAATCATAATTGTTCTTTGTTTCAGGAATTGAATCCTCCATTTTGCATTCAGCATGGTGGAGGTGGTGATAGATTGCCAACAGCATCAACATGTATGAACTTATTAAAACTACCAGCTTTTGAAAATGAAAATCTTCTTCGCGAAAGGCTGTTGTATGCCCTTCAGTCAAACGCAGGCTTCGAATTGAGCTGAACAAAAATTGAGGTCCTCAACAAATACAGTATGTTGAAATCATGTAGTCGAGTGATGTTGGATTTATCATCTCCTCATTCATGTTAGCAAACCACACATGAGCAAAAATGATTTTGGTTTACATTTAGTAGTGAATGAATCCTTGCATCTTCCACTGGTTAAATGTTGAACCATATTTGTCTGTTTTTTGACCATGATGATTTTGTGCTTTTGTGAAAATTGAACTAATCTACTTCAATGAGTTAGGATTCCCTCTAGAATTGTTCGCTTATAGTGCACCAATCATTGGGCTCGAGGGCCTCTCCCCAAGTTTATTTACTGAGGCCTTTCAGACCATTTGTGGCATAAAAGCCCAATTCATTTAAAAACAAACAAAAAAAAACTTGTTTTTTAAGTTTAAAAACCCAATAAAATTACTGTAGTCTTGGTGGGGGGTTGTACTTGACTGAAATGAAAAACTGAAAAAATGGACTATCTTTCTATTTTAACAAAAGCTTAAATTACTTTCACTCTAAAATCTACTTACCGTATTTGAAAATTTTATCTTTTGAGTTTTTCTGACTGTTTGTCTTTCCTGTGATAGATTATTGTTACTGTTCACTGTGCAATCCAAGGAAAGTAAGAGGAAGGAAATGATTTTTTAGTTTTATGTTGTTTTGAGGACTGTCTTGTACTGAATTTAGGAAATCAAAGTGTTGCAGCTGGTAGTTGTATAGGATTTCTTGGATGAAATCATTTTTTACCTGCCATTTTTGTGGTTAAAATTTATGTGTAACTGTGCCAACTGCTGTTCTTTGAACTGCTGACAGTAATATATTGTTTGCTGCTGTCCTGTATATCGTCAAGTTTTAAAAGTGTGTCACAGTATGGTGGCAAAATTCTCTGAACTTACAAACTTAACTGCAAAGTTGTAAAAGTATCGAAGTTCGATAGCATTCAAGTTTTAGAGTGGAAATTCACTTGTGAGACATTGTGAACCTCTCTTATAACACGTACCGTACTTGTTGCTGAAGACATTTCTCAACTTTGACTGAGTGGGAGTCTTGAAATCTGTAGTGTTCTTAATAATAGCTTAGCATTTTTATCAGTGCGGTTTCCTCCTTTTCTTTTTGAGATGGTTTTAGAATTCCTTTTTTTTTCTGGTTAATATTGTTTGTTTTGAAACTCAACTGCACTGATTAAGTGGTTATGTGACTGCTCTGACTTCCCTTGCTTGTGTTAATTGTATAGCTTATTCAGTTGAAAATGTGTTGTTATGGGAAACTTGATTTTCTTACTAAGGAATCATGACGATTGTTTATGAGCTTTTGTTTGCAGCCGGCCAGTTTTGTAAGCTGTAATCTTGTTTTATAAAGATTGTTTTGAAACAAAATCGCTGAATATGTTTTGTGTCCTCTTGAAATATAATCGTAAGAAATCAGTTCATAGATATTCTGATGACTACATTAGTAAAATTTTTATCTTTGTTTTTGTATATATAGAAGTAATGTATTCTTCAGGATACCTTTGTCTGTGGTAATGTTCATAGTAATTTAAGTGAAAACAAGGGTGCCGATGTGCTAGATGTAGTGGTAACGATGAAATAAGTTAAATTTTATGAGATGTCTACCTATCTGGCATAAATGAGAGTACCTTCTCTTTCCAATTATGTTTCGAGGATTGTGCAATCTCTTGTGAATTGCGTTTCTCTTTATTGTTGCCTGAAATTATATTTTTCAAAAACTACAACCTTCTTTCTTTTCCTTTTCTGATCCACGCATTCAGTCACATTGTTTAAGAAGTGTCAGCAGTTTCTCTGATAATATTATTATGAAGTTCACAAAGAGAGAAAATTTTGCGGTAAACCTTGGCAGTGTAAAGAGTACGAGGGTCAAACTAAAGAGTCACAGACATCCACTCGCTGACACCTGGACTTGACCAGTCAAGGATAAATTTGAAATTGGCGCTACATTCGGGCGCACTCGCTTGAAAACAAAAACCCTGCTCGCAACCTTCGCCTGCTTCCAGACACTGGAATGAGACTCGTTTTCCCGAGGTAAATGAAAATTGCTGTCTCTTTGGTGAATTGAAACGTAACTTCCCCGATATGTCTTGTGCTTTCCGTGGTTCAGCCAGTAGCGCGTACGCACGGCAGGGGTTCCGAGTTTAGCTTTTGCTGTTGGCAGTGCCGGAGAGGCGTCGACCGCCCAACAACAACAACAAACGTTCCAGTCGGCGCGCTGCCGCCGCCGCCGCGACCGCGAGCGCGCGCGAGTCGAGGTGTGTCCGTCGCGCGAGGTGGAGGGGAGAACTTCTAGGCGGAGTCCGTCCGTTCGTCGTTTAGTGATGTGTTCAGAATGGAATTCGGCTGAAATTACGCGAACGCGGTCTTAAGTTTCGCTTCGTGTTGTGAGTGGACGAGCACTGACCAGGAATAACAGTGCCCAGCCCAGCGGTTCGTTGCGAGAGTGCGTCGATTTGAGACGGAGCAGCAAAATGGACACGGGGACGCTACCCGTCGGAGTACCCAGGTATGCAAGGGCGTCGCCGCACCGCCGCCACGCACCCGCGACGCCCAAAACTTTGGCGCCGGGTTGTTTGGACCGAAACCCGTCGGGAGGTTTGCAAACCTCGCGTTGTCAGGCTGATTTTGCGGTGCTTTGGAGCCTCGCCGCCGCGGTGGAGGGGCTTTATTTACCTCACTGGACACGGGCCTAACGGCAGGTGGTTCCGTGTCCAGGTTAGGGGACGCTGGAGGGGTGTTTATTTTGACGGTTTGGAGGCCTACGCGGTCGGTTTTCGGCGTGTCACAGCCCGGTTTGGAGCGGAGGCTCGTGGTTTTCTGTGCGAACGTGTGCGACGTGTTGTTGGTGTACCTGCAGAGGCGGTCCAGTCTTACAATCCACCTGTAAGAGCCACTCCTTGTCATTGTTGTCAGGGTTGGGTTAAGGTGGCCTGCAGACCGATGTGCTGTCTGTCCCTCCTTACTATAAAAGGATCATTGCTGACCTACAGCTGGACACTGTAAGTCAGGTGATGATTAAAAATTGATGTTTATTAATTAACGAACAAGCTGAAGGAATGCTTAAGTGTTGTGGTTACGGAGTCTTTGTTATTATTATAGCTGCTTCTCTTGGACTTGGCCCAACGGTTGCAATTTAATTTACAAATTTGCATATGCTGAATGGATAATATATCATTGCACCTATTGTGCTGTTTGCCAATCTGTCAGTCTAGGTCCTTCGCACTAGACTTGAAATATTGTTTTCATCTTTAAGTGCCAACCAGTGCGTCAAGTTTTAATTTGGAGTAAGAGTTGCATTTATAGTTGTAATTTGTAGGTTTTTATGCAAGGGATAAGTCAATTAATTTGTTTAGCTTCTCTCTAAGGTGAGTGCGCAGCATTGGCAAAGAAGCTGCGATGTACTTTGTCAGTTATTCCGTTGGCTTATGTATCTTTTCAATGCCTAGAGGACGGAGTCAATCACTCCTGCCCAAAAAATGCTGCTCTTTTTACTGTGTCTGTTTTGCCCGTGCTGTGTGTGGCCACTGGGGCACGGTCTGGAAGTCCTGGGCCATCCACATCCAGGATTTATTTTATGAGACACATTGCACTTTGCATCCCCTCGGAGACTCCAACGCGGGCGGGCGGCTGTCGCACCGCAGAGGGACCGTCTCTAAATGGCGAAGGAAGACCGGTGGAGGCGGCCAAAACTCTAGACGCGTTTTGAGCTGCAGAGTCGCCAATCAGGACTCGAACCGAACGTGTGACCCCACCAACGGATTGCTCTCCGAACGAGGAATCCATTGGTGGGGTCACACGCTCGGTTCGAGTCCTGTTCAGCGACTCTAGAGCTCCAAAACAAGTCTAGAGTTTTTGCCCCCCGGCGCCGGTCTTCTGGCCCACTGTGCGTGGGTACTTAAACATTCTCGAAGCAGCGAAAACTGGAACATGGCGCCAGCCTGGGCTTTCGCAAGCAGTTGCACGTAAAACTTCTCCTGCTCACTTTTCATTTTTTATAATTTTTTTGTCGTCTGGCGGTATTTGAACCCGCAGCCGCCTGGCTTGGCTTGGCGCCGCGGCGTGGGAGGCTGGCTGGGCCGCCTGTCCGTCGCTGTCCCCCACACTGCACTGTGCTTCGCTGCTTCGCTGCCGCGCTGCGCGGTGTGCGAGAGAGACGGCACGCCCTGTAATTGCTGCCGGGGCGGGCCGCCGGGCGTTGGCTGAGCCGAGCCGCTGCTTCGGGACTCGTTTTACAATTATCGGAGCGCCGCGAAGGGGGAGCCAAACTGACTGAAAAGCGCTGCTGCCGGGGATCGAACCCGCGACCCGGCGCACAGGGATAATTTCGTATCCATTTACGGGTGACCCCCGCGACCCCCCGACGAAGGCAGGACGCCGTCCAGTGGGCCAGAAGACCGGTGGAGGCGGCCGAAATCCCGGACGCGTTTTGAGCTCCAGAGTCGCTAAATGGGACTCGAACCGAACGTGTGACCCCACCAATGGATTGCTCTCCGAACGAGGAATCCATTGGTGGGGTCACACGCTCGCGGGGCCCAGTCTGTCCAGCAGTGTCGTTAATTTGGAGTTAATGTAATTGAAGCGTGTTCATTTGCTCCGATGATGGTGAATTTCGTCGGGCTCGAAACGAGAAAATAATTAAACAGGCGTGGCTGTTTTGTTTTTGTTTGTTCTCTTTTTTGCGGTGTACGGTACACACAATGCGAGGGTGAGCCGGTCTTTTCTGCTCCGTGCGCTGATGTGTGGCCCTTGAAAGCCAGGAGTGGTGGAAAAGGGACTGAAGTGAAGGGTTGAGGGGGAAGGGAAGGGAAGGGGCTCTCGGCTGTTGCTCCCTCTCGCCGTCTCTCTCCAGCTCCAATGATCGCACGGGGCCCCCCCCCTCTCTCTGCAGACTGATTTCGAGAGTCGTATTCGTCGCTCTGTCGCTCTCTCACTCGTGGGGCGTCCCGTATGGGTGCGAGAGAGACAGAGCGACGAATACGACTCTCGGAATCAGTCTGCTGATGGTCGCGCCGTGGCGGGTAGGCACCCCGCAGCGCACAGAGTAGCAGCATCCGCCCCCACCTCCCAGCACAGACACACTCTCTCTCTCTCTCTCTCTCTCTCTCTCTCTCTCTCTCTCTCTCTCTCTCTCTCTCTCTCTCTCTCTCTCTCTCTCTCTCTCTCTCTCTCTTTCTCTCTTTCTCTCTTTCTCTCTTTCTCTCTTTCTCTCTTTCTCTCGTCACGTGTTAGTGATTAATCAAGCTGCTACTATACTACTTTTCCGCAGCAGTGTAGTGGCGGCGGTCGGCTGGCTGGACGGGGGAGGGTCGCGCGGCGGCGAGGTGAACGGACGGACGCGGCTGGCCCGCCGAAATCGAAATGCCGAAATCTCGAGTGGAGATGGGATTCGTAGTGATAAAGTTTACGATGATCATCCCCCCTCCCTTCTCACCCCCCCCTGTCGGCGTTGCTGGAATGAATGCCATGGGGGACAAGGGGCGGTCGACGCTTTTGTTTTTCTCATTTTTGGCGTCGGATATCTCGCTCCGTCTCACAGTGGGCCAGAAGGCCGGTGGAGGCGGTCAGAATCCTAGACGCGTTTTGAGCTCCAGAGTCGCCAAATGGGACTCGAACCGAACGTGTGACCCCACCAATGGATTCCTCGTTCGGAGAGCAATCCATTGGTGGGGTCACACGATCGGTTCGGGTTCAATTTAGCGACTCTGGAGCTCAAAACGCGTCTAGAGTTTAGGCCGCCTGCACCGGTCTTCTGGCCCACTGTGCGTCTCTCTTCTCTGCTTTATTCAAGGCTTGTTGTGTTGGAGGGCGAATTGCGCAAGGATATGTCGGGCGGAATGTGCGTGGCGAGGGCGGGGGTGGCGAAGGTCACCCCTTTCGCTCTCGGCGCGCCGGAGAGCGGCGCTGTCTCTCTCTCGCACCCTGACGGGGTGCCCCGTGAGTGGGAGAGAGACGGAGCGGCGTTCGGATGCAGTCTGCGTGGGTGTCTATGACCGCGCGCCCTCCCGGCATGAGCCCAGCCGCCCTATCGGCCCGGCCCACAGTGGGCCAGAAGACCGGTGGAGGCGGCCAAAACTAGACGCGTTTTGAGCTCCAGAGTCGCTAAATGGGACTCGAACGGAACGTGTGACCCCATCAATGGATTCCTCGTTCGGTGAGCAGTCCATTGGTGGGGTCACACTTTCGGTTCGAGTCCCATTCAGCGACTCTGGAGCTCAAAACGCGCCTTGAGTTTTGTCCGCCTCCACCGGCTTCTGGCCCACTGTGCAGCCTGGACGGGGCTGTGTTTAACGGTTTGGATACGCGGGGCGTGCTGCCTGCCTGTCCGTCTGTCCGTCTGCCTGCCTGCCTGTCCGCCCGTGTCATATAAAGCCGGGTCCTGACGCCCCGTGAATGTATAAGCGCATTGCGCCCTCCCGGGCCTCCCTGTCTTCTGGCAGACTGATTCCGAGAGTCGCTCCGTCTCTCTCGCACTCGTGGGGCGTCCCGCGTAGGTGCGAGAGAGACAGAGCGACGAAGACGACCCGAGGAATCAGTGTGCTGGTGCCGTCAGCGAGCACGGGGCGCGTGGAGCGGATCGAAGGGTGGGTGAACACACCCTGCTGGAAGGCTGGAGCAAGTTCCATGCGCCATGGGTTTGTCTAGACGCTGCCATGAGAAAAGTGAAGAAAACGACGGCTAGCCATGGTGGCCGTGCACAGCGGGCACCGTTGTGCTCCACTCATGGCTGCTGACTCACTGGCCGTGGGAGCTCCTCGCACTCGCGGCGGCCATGCCCTGCCACAGTGGGCCAGAAGATCGGTGGAGGCGGCCAAAACTCGACGCGTTTTGAGCTCCAGAGTCGCTGAACAGGACTCGAACCGAACGTGTGACCCCACCAATGGATTCCTCGTTCGGAGAGCAATCCATTGGTGGGGTCACACGATCGATTCGAGTCCCATTTAGCGACTCTGGAGCTCAAAACGCGTCCGGGGTCTTGACCGCCTCCGCCGGTCTTCTGGCCCACTGTGCCTGCCGTGTCGCGGCGCTGGCGGCCTGCACGGCGCCAGCAGGCGTCGCCGCGGCGTCGCGGGGCGGCCGTCCATGAGGGCTGAGGCACTGGCGGGGCTTCGCGTCGTCGGCGACTCGACGGCACGCACCGCCCTAGTGGCCCTGCAGACTGATTCCGAGAGTCGCTCTCGTCGCTCTGCCCTTGTCACACTCACGGGGCGCTCCGCACAGGTGCGAGAGAGACAGAGGACGATCCTCGGCCAGTGTGCCGGCACTTGGCGGCCTAAGGGCGGAGGGCGCCGGGAAGCGGCGCGAGTCCGCCGTGTTGTCTTGCACAGTGCGAAAGAAGGCCGGCGCAAGCGGCCAGCACTCTAGACGCGTTTTGAGCTCCAGAGTCGCTAAACAGGACTCGAGCCGAACGTGTGACCCCACCAATGGATTCCTCGTTCGGAGAGCAATCCATTGGTGGGGTCACACGTTCGGTTCGAGTCCCATTTAGCGACTCTGGAGGACAAAACG